TCTGCGGAAAAGAGAAGACTTTCACTGTAAGACAAATAGATTGCGAAAAAATAAAAATAAAAAATTGAAACAATTATTGCATGATCCAATTTTAAGAGTCAAGGGCTTTTGTCTCCTTCGATACATAGGTCCCACTCATCTACCTATTGGGTTCATTGTTTGGTCACTAGCTTACGCTAATTCACGTCTCGGTGAAAAACAACACCGGTTTAATCCGGTTTACGAAGAGCCACAGAAGCTCGGTATGATTCTTCGTGGGAAATAACCGCCGGTATATTCCATGTTCCCAGATAATGCCCAGAAATTTTCCCACCTAAAAAACTTTTTTCATTAAGTAAACAAAAAAATAAAATAATAATAATTGGAATTTGGACGGTAAATATTGTAAAATTGATACCTTCTTTAGTAGCTTCTTCACATCTTCTTTGGTAATTTGAAGACAAATGTGGATCCAGTGATTTCATAATCTCTTCATACTTGTCTTCAGCTTCCGATATCCGTTTCGCCTGCATAAAAACATCAGCGAGCTCTACGGTATATTTTCATAGAAACATTGATCGATATGTCGTATTGTAACGTTTCTATACCAGCTCAGTGGGTGCATTCGAAGGGCCGAATATTCCAACAAACATGCGTAATACATTGAAGTTGTTCTCGAGCACATCGTCCTACAAGTAAACCATATCGAAGTTGATCAATGATCAGTAAAGATTGTTATGCCAAAGACTGTCAAAAGCGTTATTTTAGAGAACCTAACCTCGTAATCAAAGCTGCAAAAGTAAACTGAAACCAGTTAGATTTTTGAAAGATTCAAACTTTGTGGGTTGTGGTAGATTGGAAATGTTTTAAAAGAAAGAGTACAGATCATCCGCTACTTCGACCAGGAACTCTGAAATTGACAAGAATTCCATATGCAACTCATTCACCTATTTCCACAGTTCCAAAGAAAGAAGAGAATACATCAAATACAATACAATCTATATGCCTATAACTTCATATCAAGAAATAACAAGGCACATGAATGTATTACCTCTTCTCCTCTCAACTTGTATAGTAGAAGATTCAACACCCGGTAATCAAAGGACTTCAAATGGATTGCTCTCATCACATCTTCAAGGCAGATCTATAACCCAATAAAGGATTAAACCGTGAAACAAACAGAGAAATGTTTGACGACAATAACCTGAACCAGTTACCTTTTTTTTTTTTGAAAGAGCATGACAAAGCTTTCTTTCTAACGCCCAATACTCTTCGCCCGACTTAAACTCTTGTTGTATTCTAACCCATGCAACAATGAACAACAATCAGTGTGTATATGTTTGTTCCTTTGCTAATTAAACAGAAGTTATCTCAAGGAAAATACCTTTGTGTCAATAGGCCCTCACGCTCAAGCAGATCTCCAAGCGGCTTCAACGGATCAGTTCCAAACAAAGCTCGTGATTCACCATTCCTTCCATGACTTGAATACTGCATCTCAAACCATTAGGTTGTACACTGATTTTGGTGATTTGCCATACTCGTAAATATTACACATGCCATCTTACAATGACTTGGGATTCACTGACAATCTTCTCATTAAGAGCATCCATCTACATAAACAAAAAGACTTTAACATTTCTTAGATTCGGGTTACATTGTCATTGTTGCAATGCACGTTTACTAAACACCGAAACATACAATTATTACCTGATATATGTAACTCTCTGTGAATGAAAGCACAGGTAAATATCTGAATACTGACTGCGGTTTGTTAATTTCCAATCCGTGGAACATGAAGTAAGACCTCGACTGCAACAGGATATGGACAATTACTATAAATCATAAGAGAGAACATTTGCATAACTCAATCAAAGTTTATTACAGTACTTCCTCCAATTTCCTACTTCATTTGTCTAGTGTCTACACAAGTCGATCCTAATATATCTATTTAACTAAGCCAAGACAGAAAAAAAAAACAATGCTTTGTAAAGAGGAAGGGCTTACGAAATCCTCAAGTGTAGAGTTTGCTCTTTTCATTGCATCAAGCCCGACCATTGCCACAACATCTTGGTGTTTCTGCGACGTGTAAGGATCAACAATGTCCATGACACTCCTCTCCACATAACTCTTCTGCGTGTCCCCTGCATGTGAATCGAACAATCAAAACGCAGTTATACACTAAACAAAGACTCAGAATTTCAAGGCTGCAAATCGAAATCGCAGAGAATCTACACTTGTTTTCAGGACATAACTATCTCAGTTTTTAAAGTCACTCACTCAGCCAAATACAATTTTCGAACCAGACAAGACAATCCAAGTGAGGTGAAACTGAAATATAAAGTACCTGAATTTGTGTTTACTAGTTTAGCTTCATCTTCTCGATGAATTGACGTTGATATTTCCTCGAGGAAAGGTCCAGAGATCTTCACGCAATGAAACAAAGAGGGATAATCTAGAATTCGAGGAAAACAGTAACAAAGAATCAAGCTTGCTTTGCTTACTTTGGGTAAGAAATCAGAGACAAGGCCGAGTTTCGAATCAATGTCGAGTTCGCCGCAAGGTTGTACCTTGGAAGAATAAAAATCAAATCAGATTTCCGGGAAAATCTCGAGAACCCTAAATTGCTTTTTAGTTACCAGGAAAAGGGCGAGATTGGAAAGGAAGGT